GAGCTGAAGCTCAACAGGAATGCCTTACTTTTCCAAGTCTTTTCTGCCTTTGACAGGGTACAATCTTACCACTTTCCTCTTGCTCTCTATTAGTGGAAAATAATTTGAGTTTTCTTCTCTGACAGGTTTCCGTCTTACACAGGTTCCAGCTTTCTCTGGTTTTACTGTAAATGTAGCAAATTTCTTAGTTATGATAGTGGAACATTCTTCAGAATCATGGAGTTCTTGCTTCATAGTTTGGACTTTCTTGAATTTTTAGTTCAAATATTATTATTAGGACTATTTATTATTCATTATTCAAAGATTACATAAAACCCTATCCCTTAAAATTAAGGATTATTTGTTCATTATCTATTTAAAAATTACTTTTCTTTCTCCATAAAGATTCTAGGATTTAAAACGTATGTGTCCAGCTCACTTAATTGGATAGACAACTGTGTAACACCATCCATTAGATTTCCTTTAATAGTCAAAGCATAAAATCAAACCAAACTCACTGTCGTTGTGTGAGATCCCACTCATAGTGACCCCTCCTTGGGTTTCTGAGGCAGTATCACTACAGAAGTAGATTGCCCAACCTTCCGAGGAGCCGTTGGTGGATTTGATCCACAAGCCTTCTGGTTAGCAATCAAATGCCTTAGCCACTATGCTACCAGAGCTCCTAATCAAAGCATAGGTCTGTTTAAAAACAGTCTCTCTCAGGTTTGGTGCCTATTACTCCTGTGGTACATCTGTGTTAACACAGAGGTAGAGCGTGGAGAATGGGTAGGTGGTAATTCTAAAGCCTCTAGCACCAAGAATAGTGGAATTCTTCAGAGTGAGTGTGAGCACACCACACCGTTAGGCTGACTGAAACCTGAGGAAATGATTGACTTGAACAATTTATGATTACCTGGCCTCCATGCTGTGATGTCTTCAGCCTGTGGACTGTGATCTGCTTAGTAGCTTGGTTTGGCATAAATGGCTGTTTACCCCCTTGCTGATGAAGAAAATAATACTTTAGGTGGAACTATGTATGTATGAGGAACTCTGGTGGCATAGTGGATAAGGCATTTGGCTGCTAACTAGAAGGTCAGCAGTTCAAACCCAGCAGCCACTCTGTGGAAGGAAGATGAGGGGAGGCAATCTAGTTCCACAAAAATTTACAGCCTTGGAAATCCAATGGGAGTCGCTGTGAGTTGGAATTGACTCGATGGCAGTGAGGTTTGTTTTTTGTTTTAAGTGTATATATATGAGCTTTTTTATTTGCTGTTACCATTACTCCTTCCCCTTTCATATTTTGGAGGCTCTCAAGTGGATCTTCTTCCTAATTTTTAAGTGTCAAATACATTTTTGTAGTAGATTGTGTCTGTGATGAGAGACATGTACTCCAAACATATTTTCATAATTTGACACACTTAGAGGCATGATCTAATAGTAATAATGTAATAGGCATCTTGCTTGTTAATATATTTAAAATTTACTGGGTTAAGTATCTTTTATTTTGGCTCATGAAGGCTATAAAGACTCTGAACTTTCAGACATTACAGATAATAAGAATATTTATTGTCATATGTTGCATAAGTCAATTATTCACAGAACTTGCACTTTTTATATTTCTGCCAACTGTTATTAAAGGACATGCATAACAGATTTTTTACATACATATACAGGCATAAGCACACACACATGCAGAGATATTTCCTTTACTGTATAAACTTTTCTAGTTGATTGCTTCCTTTAGCAAATAGTGGTGGCAAGTATTCAAATATGACTTTGTACCTAAGAAGATACACATTCATGCAGGCGCAATGTACTGTTTGGTGTTTCTTATACTGTTTTGAATCATGTTGAATGGTGTATTTTATATTCACAATTATAAGACAAAATTGCTAAACCCAGATCATTCCAAGAAGATACGTTATAGAGAAAAAACACTTAGAAGCTAGGAAGAAGGAATGTGAGAAGAGAAAAGGATTTGGGGGGGAGGGGGCAAGAGATTGGAAAGTTGGTCCATAAAGATTTGCCACTTCTATAGTAAATTGTCAAAAACCACCAAATGCACAATATAATTAACTGGCTTTCTTACAAAAACTAGCAAGGGGTTGAGCATTATCACTTAGTTGACCTGGATATGATATAGAAATGCCATATTATAACCCAGGGGACCTCTGAGTTACACTTAATTTCTCCTGTCTCAGGTCAGTGGTTCTCAAATTCTAGTGTGGTACAGAATAGTGCTACTCTTAGAGAGTCTGATTCAGTGGGTTCCAGGAAGGCATTTATCACTAGCTCCTGGAGTGGTTTCTCATACAAGTGCCCTGGATTACAGAACCACTGCCCTACACCATCATCTTCCGGTAAGTATTTCATAAATCTGGAAGAAGAGTCAAATACTTGAATTATATAGCAAGATTAAGTTCAGATGGTGTAACATGTAGTCACTGGAGAAATACTTTTATTGGCTTCCTAAAGTAGAAGATTCCTGAGCCGGGTTTCACTGGATAAGAATGATGCAGTCAGGTGAAAAGAATGACTAGAAGAGGCTCCCAGACCTTGGACATGATGAGCAGAAGCACAGAGGTGAGGAAAAGCGTGCATGAGGAAAGGTCTAGAGAGTTAAGTGGGAACCAAATGGTGACAGAAGAGATAGGGGAAGTACACAGAGGACATGTGAAGGACCTTGGCCTTTTTGGTGTAAAGATTTGATGGTGCTGGTGGTGAGGTGGAGAATAAGGCAGATTTTGCATTTTAATTGGAGCACTAGTGACTTGAACCAGAGATAAACGCAAGGACTAGATTGTAAACTAAATCAACAGGTGTTCAAGAAATCAAAGCAACAAATGGGCAATGGTTCGAGAAATCTTGGAAATTTTCACTGTAACAATTTGCATTTCAGAGTGACTCGGACAAAGTGATAATTGAAGAAATGAGGTAAAAATAAAATCTTACCTTCCAGGTATTCTGCATTATCAAAAGAACCCACTGGGGTTGAGTTGATTCGGACTTAGGGCAGTGTAACTAACAGCTAATAGGTATTCAGAGTCACTCGGCAAGGTTAGTTAGGCTGTTAGGTGCCATCGTGTTGGTTCTGAGTCACAGCAAGCCTATCTACCTACAACAGAATTAGACACTGCCCGGTCCTGCACCATCCTCACAAGAGTTGTTACACTTGAGCCGTTGTGTCAGTCTATCTTGTTGAGGGTCTTCCCCTTTTTTACTGACCCTTTACCTTACCTAGCATGATATCCTTCTCCAGGGACTGGTCCCTTCTGGCAACATGCCAAAAGTAGGTGAGATGAAGTCTGGCCATTCTCACGTCTAAAGAACATTCTGGCTGTACTTCCTCCAAGACAGATTTGTTCGTTCTTTGCCAACACTACAATTGAAAAACATCCATTGTAGTTAGGTTACAGGACTGTAAACGTTTCCAATTCAAAGTCACCATAAATGAGTTCTTTCAAAACCCACCAGCCACTCCGCAGAAGGAAGGTTGGGCGATCTACTTCTGTGGTGACACAGCCTGGGAAACCCAAGGAGGAGTCACTGAGTCGGATACGACTCCATGGCACATAACAGCAACATGAGGAACCAGGGAAAGATTCCCCAATAAGCAAGGTAAGCACAAGCGTACTTGTGCTTATTTACTAATCTATAGTGAACATTTTCACGTTTTTTTGCACATCAAGATTTTACTTCTAGGTATGGCTGGCATCTCTCCCAACCGGACAGCACCTTCCTACGGAATCAAAGCCCCTTCAAATTTACAATCCCTCACAGGGATGGAGCACCCAGTAAGCAAGGTAAGCACAGACTTACTTGTGCTCACTTACTAATCTGTAGTGAATGGTGTCACGTTTTTCACCACATCAAGCATGTAGTGACCATGTGGAATTGATGTAGGCTGGGACCTGAACATTGCCTTTTATTGCAAAGATGCCTAAATTTTTTTCTGGGGAAAAAAAATTTTTGTTGTTTTCTTGCCAGATATATGATGCTATTTAACAGTTGATTTATAGTGGGTCTTGTTGCTTTTCAAACATTCAAAGATGGATTACAATGAACGTTGCTTGGAATCTGATGATTACAACCATGATTTAATGCACAGCAGACACTAAGCCTGAATGGGTGAAAGAGCAGAGGGGGCATTTTAAAAATGAGGAAACGTGCCTTTGTTTCACTGACAGTTAGCTGAAGATACACAGTTCTCCTTGGTTTGCAATCTCTTGCTGACTGTATGTTTTGGTGGGGTCATGACTCTATAGCACATCTCAGGGAAAACTGATCCTGAACTATCGCAGGATCTTAATTAACGAGAAACGGGGAGCTTCAGAATTAATGTCAACTTCTCATTCCACAGGAATTTCGGCAAGACGACGACTGTGTTACATAAAATTACTCATTCTCTAGTATTCTGCACTCTGTTGCAAAAACTATTCTTTTAAAGTTAACCCAAGAGAGTAACAATATAAGGAGAGTGTAGGGAGAGGAGACGATGGCAAGTCGGAACTACCATGAATCTATTTCTTCCTTTCCAAACTAGCGCTCCTTTTAGATTGAGCGACCAAAAATGGAAAGGCAATCTCGACCTACTCCCTGACTCTGGGCGGTTTGGAAATCCAGTTTCCCTACGACCGTTTGTATTCTCCTTGAGTTCCAATCTTGTCCTTTTATGTTTCCCATTGGCTGTGGCTGCCGAGGACCCGCCTCCTTCCGTGGCCTTCCAGAGCCTTTCGCGAGAAGACGGGGCTTTGTGACGCATGCGCTGACACCCCCCCAGCCCCACCTACAGCGTATAAAAGGCTCACCCGGGGCGCAAGCTCCTTCAGGAGCCGCCGGCAAGGGGGCAACGAGAAAGCTAGTTAGAGCGTAGCCGGAAAGCAGAAGGTGGGGCTAACCTGGAGGAGGGGCCTAACTTTCGGCCCCATGGCAGTTAGGCCTTCCCTGGGGTGTCTCACGGGGATGGGAAAGGTGGAGAGCGCCGCAGGTGGCCGGGAAGGAGGAGAATGCCCGAAGTGGGAGGCTTGTGGGGTCACACCCGCACTGGACAGCCAACGCCAGGGTGTCGGAGCTTAGGGTCAGGGGCCTCCGCTATCCACCATCTGCCTCTCCTGACCAAGTGGATGCAAAATCGGCCACGCCCGCTCTCCCACATTTCACTGCCTTCTCCCCCAAACCAGCCAAATCAAAAGGCCTAACACGGGGCCCACAAACTTCAGCGTTTAGGTCTTTGGGGAGCGAGTTGGTGTTTGGGATTTGTTTTCTGTGGCTCTAAAGTCCCCACTCACATACTCAACCACAGGCAACGTTTTCTTTCTAAAGCATTACCCCTATGGTGGTGTGTAAATGAAAGCTTACAGTTTGGGGGAAGGGGAGGTAAATTGTGTGTTTTTGACAAGTATACCTTGAAAGGAGAGATTTGGAGAGAATTGCTTAGTTGACTGTCGCATTTAAACATCCCTCAGGGTCAGTGTTTTGTCCGTTAATTTAATTATATGCAGCTACACTCTAGGATGCTCAGCATACGTGACCCTTGGGCACTAACTCACCCCACACATTCCCCAAGTGGCTGGTGGAGGTGGGATGGCGGCCCACAACCCTACTGAGAATGATTAGGACCTGTAGGTAATGGGCTGCCTGGTCGCTAGCCCCTCGGTGGGTAGCACCAACTGCTAACTGCCTACAGAAAGGGTGGTTTGTTAGTTCCATCGTCATGGCTACTGGTAAGCCACTTTCAAAAGCATGACCTGTCTACTCTCACTGGGGTGAAAAGGATGTAATTTAAAAAAATAATTAATTTAAAAATACATTTGTATCATATAATAATATGTATGTATATATCTCATACACATGTTATTACTGCCTACATCCCTTAGCATGTGGACTAGCCAAAGCTGTGGTACTGGTTTTTCAATGATGGCTTAATTAAATAAAGGTCCTATTGAATACTTTTCTGACAGTAAATTTTCATTAAGGGACTCAGTACAATTCAAACAAATTCTTAAACGCTTTGCTTTGGCCAACACATACTCATTTTTTCCTGACCTTTAGGAACAGGTGATGTACTTTTGAATATTTAGCATTTTGCCATGACATATTTGTTGCTTTTTATTAGCAGTTAGACCCTTGTATAATTGCTGTAACTAAACCTGGGCCACTAGTCCCATGAAACTCATTACTCTATTTACTAGAGGGATTTTTGAGGACAGAGTTCATTATATCACCATCCTCCTCCTCTTTATGTGGACCTATGGGAGAAATTTCTCTTGGGTCTCAGTGTCCAGAATAGCTGTGATTCTCCCAAGCAACATTTTTTTTTTTTAAATCTCAAGAAAGCTTTGTTCAACTGTTTCCTATTTTGTGACGGTTGCTTGGTATCTCGGATTGATTTGACACCTATTTTTATTAAAGTGAAAAGGAGTATATTAGGGTTCTAACCTTACCGGCTGTGCCATTCTAATTTTTATAGCATAATTTCTTCCTTACCACTGAACTGATTTTTATTTTAATTTGAACTGATTATTTTAATTTTGTTTTTATGTACATTTACGAGCTTTCTTAAGCCATTCTTCAGAATGAGACAGAATACACACATATGTATACTAACACAGAGTTTAGGGTAGCAGCCTCTGCAACTTTCAGGACTATAGATGTCCTTGCTGTTATATAAAAGTCAGTAAGGCAGGTGAGTGGGGGGTGAGGGAAAAAGAGGACAGAAGAAGGAGAGAGAGAAGAAGAAAGATGTGCATATGGTAGTGGGTGGTATGATAGTACCACAAATAACTGATATCTGATTAATGTTAGACATTTAAAGCTAAAAAAAAAAAATGTGTGCTTAAAGCTGAGCAATGTGTCCAGAGGTATATTTAGAAAATGAAAAAAGACATTTTCTTGTAGAAACACTAATGTTTCCAAACCCATGTGGCTTAGAAGGACTTTGTTTAAAAACATAAATTAGAATAATTCATCTTTTTTTGCAGTGTTACTGGACAACGTATTCACTAATTTTTCTTTGTTAGAGTTGTGATTGCAGATCTCCTGCCAAGATGATTTCTTCAAAGCCCAGACTTGTCGTACCCTATGGCCTCAAGACTCTACTCGAGGGAGTTAGCAGAGCCATTCTGAAAACCAATCCACCAAACATCACTCAGTTTGCCGCAGTTTATTTTAAAGAGCTTATTTTGTTTCGAGAAGGTTTGTTACGGTTTTAGATTATATATTTAGTGATTTGCAAAAGAAAGAATTTTAAACTGGAAATTTTATGTGTCTTTATTTGATTTCCTGCATTTATTTCTTCAGGAAACACTTCCATGGATATAAAAGAATTGGTTAAACAATTTCATCAGAAAAAAGGTAAGAATCACAAGTGATAGTTTTAATAATACTCTAGTTGTAAATTATTGCATCATTACTAGCATACATTCAAATTCAAGAAATATGCCCACAGATATTTTCTTTTTAGATCACACTGATACTTATTTAATTAGTTTTTTTTTTTTTTTTAATCTAGGGTCTGACAGTTTGAAGGATACTAATATTTTTTAAACAAAAAAAAAATAGGAAAAAGTCATTCCTTGCAAACCATCTGGCACAACAAATGTACATGAATATCAAAAACAGTGTATATATAAACTACAACTTAAACTCCTTCCAATATGTCTGAGTCTTTAAGAAAGTACAGTGAACTTTAAGAGAATTTAATTCTCAGTTATAATGATATGCATTACTTAAGAGAATTATATAAAGAAATGTTAAACCACCTTTTAAAAAATTTTTTTCTCCTCATGATGGCTTACCAGCAGTCCAGGTGTCAGGCACGTGATCAATTAGGTCGTCACTGTCTGACTCTGCTCCAGAAGAGGGTCTGTGTAGTGAAGACCTAAGTTTTCACAGAAAGTGCTCTCCTCCAGCACATCTCAGATGGTGTGACGTATTATTGTGTATATATTTGTTTAGAAGACAGTTGTATTTTAAGACCATGTGTATATGTGTTAGGGAGCTCTGGTGGCGTGGTGCCTAAGGCATTTGACTGCTAACCAGAAGGCTGGTGGTTCAAACCCACCAGCCACTCCTCGGAAGGAAGGTCGGGCAGTCTACTTCCATAGTGATACTGCCTCAGAAACCCAAGGAGGGGTCGCTGTAAGTCGGATCTGACTTGACAGCAGTAAGTTTGGTTGGTTTTTGGTATATGTGTGGAATCTGTCTTAGGTAAATTGAGTCTGTCTTAGGTGAATTGAGGTCAGTTAACCTCCAAGATAGCCTCACACTCACAGTCTTCCCAAACACAGTTCCTGGTATAAAAAATACAAGTACAAAGGCCGTAACAACCTTTACTGCCTCATGGGGGGGGGGGTGCTGGGAAAAGAGCACAGGTGGTTAATGTTGTTGCACTTTTCTTTACATCCTGCTGATGGTTTCCCGTGGTGAGTTGAGAGTGCCATCAGTACCCTAAAGGAGGCAGCCAGAGTAAACAATAAAACATTCCTGAAGTATGCTCTTGCCACTTGAAATGCTAACATAATCCTGCGTTCTGTTTTGGTTGTCTGTTTCCACTGCCAATCTAAACCATGATTTGTATACTTCCCTAGGTCTTACTCCTGATTTCTTCTTACCTTGAATATTATCTATTAACATCACCAAACTGGCAGGGTATAAAAGTGGCTGACAGATCACAGTGCTATCTTTTCTTTTTCTATAATAATTTAAAAATGTTGGTCAATCACTGAAATAAGAATTTTTTCTCCCACTGACCGTGTGTTTCCTCTCCTCTTTCACAAAATTCTGCCAAAACTTTTTCTTGACATTCTTGTAGACATGTCTGCCTGTCCCTGCAATTTGACTTTTCTGTTCTCTCACTTATACTCTGCTTCTAAGAATTCCATTATATAAACTTCGCCTTTTCTTATTTCTCCCTTTCTTCATTGCTCCTCTGTCAATTCAGTTTCATGCTGAAGGTTTTCTTTGGACAATGCAGTAGAAATGAACTTTGTTCTAGTTTACTGAGGAGATGAGAAGGAAACATGAAGATATGGCCAGAAAATACAGAGTTCAGTGTCAGTGTCTCATGTCAGTTTAGCTCTTTTGTCTGTCTGCTATTTATTGTCATCCCAAATGCTTTCTTATTGGACAGACACTGTCTACTAACTTAGATCCTGTCATAGTGCACGAGTCTACCGACATCCAGGAAGGTATCACTGTTCTAAAGGAGGACTATCTGGGGATATACAGGAACTATAAAGTTCCCACTTGGTAAAGTATTTCCTCCCCTGAGTGACACCCTCCTGTCTTCGGACTAGTTTAATTCCCCAACTGCTGTTCCTGTGGGAGCTCTGGGTAGATCTGACCACATGGTGGTTTAGTTCTCCACAATGAAAATGTAGGTATAGCAGATAGCATTTTCTCCTTCCTCCAAATAGAACTTCTTCTATGTGGATTCCAGTTTTCAGTGTGGATAGCAGCACCAATAATTCCTTATATATTCTTTTTGTTGGTCCCAGGGATTGAGGATCTCCCAGGCTTGCAGTATAAGATGGGCAAATGAACCATTCATTGAGGACAAAGTCAAATGACCAGATATCAGATATGAGCATGAAGGACACTTAAAGTGTTTCACAAGAATCCTCAGTAGGGTTGCTGTATTCTTCAAAAGTATTCTCGAACAGGTTAGTTTGCTGCCTAACAGCCTTACCACCAAGCTGCCTATGTGCATGGAAAACATGGAGAGATATCCATCTGCCTGCACATACCATTTGTTTTATGTGAACACTTCATTTTGGGCTTTGTCCTATAGAAAGAGCCCTATTTTTGGTAGGCCTCTGGCTTCAAAATTTCATGTGGAATCAGGTGGCAGAGGAGAAAGAGAATCAGACATGGGAACAAACCGTCCTCATTTGTTTTTATGCCCCTCTCATCTCTCGTCTTTTCCCCATTTTCCGGAACCTAGGGCCCTTAAGATGATCCCTGATACTGTCTCCATTTTGGTATTTCATCCACATGTGCCCATTTCCAAAGGAACCCATACTGTGCAACTCTTTCTTGCTTTTTCTTCCTCTTATTTTTCTGCAGTTTGATTAAACAAATTCTCACTATCATATGAATAAATGAAAACTTCACCATTTATCTTCACAGGAGAGGTTCTTCATCAATCCAAATGAATCTTTAATTGATTTGGTGATATTTTAAAGCAAAAGAGTCATCCTTCTCTTAAGTCCCACCACTTAGAGAGAGAGGGAGAATGGAATTACCATTTTTGAGGACCTCTCTTGTCCTAGACATTTTTTTTTTAAAAGGTCCTTTATTCATGTGGAGCTTTGAAACAGATCATGGTGATGAGAATACATGGTGCCTTCTGAGTATCAGGTTAAATACCACTTCATTAACTGGTCTAACGAATTTTAAACATATCATTCTAACACAAATCCAGTGAGTAACAAAGATAAAAAAATTCTGCTGCCACAGCTGAAAACATGGCCACTATCAAGGGACTTTCTAAACCAGCAAACATGCCAGACCGGATTACACTTTGAACCCTTTAGAAACTCCCTCCTCAAAACAAACATCTCATTGAACTTGTAATTCTTAACCCAAGTTAAAGAACAAGAGAAAAATCACTAATTGTAATCTAGCAGTTAAGGGACTGAAAGACCAGAAATTCACTGTACTTCAGTCTCACACATTCCTAGAATTTCTAGCTCATTGAAAGTAAAGAAACTATTGATGTGAATTTTTTTTTCTTTAAGAGTCATATATTTTTTCCACCAAATCGAAAAGTTGGAAGTTTTTTTTTTTTTTTTTTCTTTTTTGCTAAATTCTATTAATGATAATTATGGGGCTTATAGCCAGTTGTATCAGGTCACTGATTAAAAAGATTCCCTTAAAGAAGTTGTGTCCTAGACATGTTTAATGGATTTTGTCAATTAATTCAAATAACCTTATGACTTAGGTGCTATCACTCCCATTTTACTTAAGATAAATCTGAGAGTAGGAATAATAATTTTTCCAAGCTTGGAAATATTGAGTAATTGGCCGATTTAGGATCTGGACTTATAGCTTCCTAGTTGCATGACCCATGTTCTTTCTACTATAGAGTAAGGAACATTCTAGGATACCTCTGGAAAAACCTTAGATTATTGAACCCAAGGAGTGAAGGAAGATAACTCTTTTCTTAAATCATCTCCCACTTTTCCCTTCTTCTTCCCTGCCACCTTCTTGTGTGGAACCTGAAGCCCAGATTGTTCTAATTCTGATCTTTTCAGCACTTAGTGAAGGGGGCAATGATTTTCTTTCTTCTTCTTTTTTTTTATTTAACTTTTTATTGTGATTTGGATGAAAGTTTATAGAGCAAATCTGTTTTCCATTCAACAAATCATACACGTTTTATGACATTGACTTCAATCCCCACAGTGTAACAGCTCTCTTCCCACTTCCTCCCTGTGGTTACCTTTTCCCTTTGTCCTTCTTTCCTATCCATTCCTGCCTTCTGGGCTTTCTCCCTATGCAGATACTGCCTTTCTATGCAGATGCACCTCCCTGGTATAATCCTTCACTTGTGTTCACTTTGTAGGCCTATCTATTGTTTGGCTGAAGTTAAGTCAAGGGAGTGAATTCAATTCCAAGCCTGAAGGGTGGTTTTCCCTTCAGAGTGACCAATAATACCCCACCACTGCTATCACTCATCCCACTAAGCCTAATTGATTTAAGTTTCCCAGTATCAGCTCTGTCTTCCATCTCAACAGAGGCAGATCTAAGTAATCCTAGACATTCTTGGTTTGAGCATAAAATAGTGATTATAGTTATGAACTGCTGCTGACCATTGCATTCAGTTTTGATTCCTGTGAAGCACCACAGCAGTATCATTAACTACTGTGAGTTGTTTATTTATATTAAGTACTCATTTTAAATATTATATTGAGTCTTTTAATTCTTGTTTCAAGTTATATTCATGTGCCTTATTTTTATACCTGGTTATACATACATGTTGCTGTTCACTCTTAAACAAACAAACAAAAAGGGAATATATCTTTTTCAGGCCTATCCATACTAAAGTTTGTGGTTAAGTAATAATACAATCCTTGAACCTCTGGCTACTCTTCATTTTCCTCAGAAATTTTTTTTTTTTTTTAAGTCTATTTTGATTCCCTGAACAGGGATGGATATTGTACCCAATTTACTTTTTTTGTTCAGGTTTGTAACAATTTATACCAAAGTAAGAATTTTATTAAACTGAGAAATGGTTTTAATGGTTGCCTGGTGGTGAGGTTTGGGAGGGGGCTCTAGGTTTTTCATGCTTTTACATCGTGGTAATAAGATTAATAAATTGGGAACAGTCCAGACTAAAACAGGCCAAATTAATC